AAAAAACCTCATAAAGTGAAATGTTCATGCCATGGGACCTTTAAGAAATAATTCTAATATGCTGATTTGCTGCTCAAGAAACATTTCTGATTATTATTATCAATGTTGGCTTTATCAAAGGACTGTTTGATCTAAAACAACAACAACATAACAAAAGAGCCTGTTATGCTGCTTGATTCGGCAGACTTGTATTTCTTATCATATTCTTTTAATGTATTGTCGTAAATATAAACACAGGTTTGTATTGAAAATAGTTTTACCGTTTACAGCACTTTGTTATTCTTATAATTATTTACCTAGAGCTAATAAATTAGAAGTCTGGCACATTCACAGAATATAGCTTACTTCTGAGTAGCAAAAAGGTGGATATTACCTAATAAAATGACTATATTTTTTATTATATTAGTCTTTTGTTTTAAAGGGGTTTTTAGTGTTTCATTTAAGACACGCTGCCAAACCAGGACTTGCAATTTTCTATTGTAAGAGACAGTCACATCCTATAAAGTAATAAAAAAAATTAAAAAAATACAAATTTACATGCCCTGTGAGCAAGATGAGATCAATAATTTTGGTCTGCTTTCCAGTAAGAGAAGGATTATCCTTTCTAAATATGCTACAAAGTTTATGTTGGCATCTTTCAGTACAAATGCTATGGAATGCCACAAAACTCCAATTTGGATTTCAAGGGGACAGTTAGAAATGAACCAGTAGCTTCTTGTGGTTAAACTTCAGTTCTATTTGCGTGAACTAACCAGAGCCGGGGTAGAGACACACATCATTGATGTTGGCCTGCGGTTCGATGGAGGCAAATACTTTTCCCTGAAATTAAGAGATTAAAAAATTTTTTTTATGCATTTGATGTTTGTCTTTGAAGGTTCATTGCTGGACGTCTGGATATAAAGTACACCAGCAAAGCCGGCCTTACATTGTCTTTATTCCACATCTTGATGATTTTGGAGTCGGCGGAGAGCACCAGGTCCAGTGGGTTGTGGAAGTGAAGGGATCTGATGGGCAGCCCATAGTAATGATCTTTAACCAGCAGAGGACGTGAAGAACGAAGATCATAGACGAGCACCTGAGGACACGTCACAAATGAGCACTGCTAGCCATTCAGCACTGTAAATCTGAAGAGCGTATTGATTTTAAACTGAGGAATCTCCTCGATGTGAGAAATAAAAATGACCTGTCCAGTGCTGGTGCCCACCGCCATGCCCAGAGAGCCATTAAACTTCAGTGCGCTGACAGACGGCAGACCTTCCACCCTTCAGACAGGAGAAAAGCACATAAGGATGAGGTGATATTACTCATGTTCTTTGATTGATTAGAGTATTCGACTGGAGTAATCTTACTGACCCTAAACTTTTGATATGCAAACTCTGGGCCTCGAAAAGATCAACATGATCAAAACTTTGCTGAAAAACCTGTTGCACACAATCTACTACTACTTCGTGCCTTCTGTCGGCTAAATGATAGTTAGACTTTTTTTTATCAAATAAAAGGCCTTTTAGTATAATTGTACAAATGTCCACCTTCAACTTCTGCTTCACATGTCTTTTTGCTGTCAAATTTTTATAAAGTAAACGTAAGAATAACTTTGATATTGTTAGTAATATTTCAAGATGAACATTTACTGGAGTGAAGCAGCTTCCCTTCACTTGATTATCAACAAAATCATGTTCAAATGTGAGTCTCAAATATTATCATCAGGCTTTTGATGAATGTGTATTTGTTCATCTCTCAATCTTCATTGTATTGCATTGTATTATATGTTTGGATCATCAAACTATTACTATATTATGTTTAAATATCATCTGGCTAAGACATATTATTGGAGATATAAAGTGACAACTGACATCTATACTGTTATGAGTCACATTACAAGCATCAGAATTGCATCTTACTTTTTGCCCATATATCAATATCTGCACCAAATTTCATATTTTTGCTCAGTTTAGGCCTCTGAATAAAACTGATCTATTTTTCTTTAATATATCATACTATATGAGCCATAAAGTCTAATGCATCAAATATGATACTCAACAAAAAACACATATGCAAACTTTTATATAGCTTTTTAAAATAATTTTAAGGTTCGATCAATTGTTCCATTTCTAAAAATTTTATTTTTTGAGGCTTTACAGGGTTAATCATAATACTAGGGATGCACGATATTGGATTTTTGCCGATATGGCGATAATTTTCAACTAATTTTGGCCGATAGCCGATGCCGATATATAATTATTTTTTATTTTGGCCAACAGCGCCCCCTACGGGATTTTGGGCATAGGACCCGGGGGAGGCTGCCGCTGCACGTGCCATTACTGTTGACTCTATCACACACGGAACGCATCATTCTGTAAGTGCATTCTCAGTTTAAATGCAGCGATCCAAACAGTGAATCCAATCACCATTCAGGCAAAACTTTGCATCAAGAATGAGCCATAATCAGTGTTCAAATTGTGTCAAAGCTCTTGGGGGGTCCCCCTAACCAGCCCCCACCCCCTCACCCCCTCCACAAAAAATAAATAAATAATACCCTTATGTACTATAAATATGGGCTTCATAGAAAGTGTTACCGAAATATTACCTAGTATGGTACAGTGGAGTTAAGTAAAAAAAGTTATTTTCCATTTCCTTTTTCTGCATCCTTGAAGTTAAATAACGGTTAACTGTTTAAATGAGAAGACTTCAGTATTTCTCTTTATTTCTGGTCTTATGCAAGTTTAGGCAGTGTTCGAATTGTGTCAAAGCTCTTGGGGGGTCCCCCTAACCAGGCCCCAACCCCACACACCCCCTTCACAAATAAAAATAAAAATAAAAATAATAATAATAAATAAATAAAATAAAATAAAACTTTATATACATATGATGCATATTTTTTTTGTCTTGTCCTCTTTATCGTTGAGAAAACCTGATTCTAAGATAAGATTATTTTACGATGATCAGTGAATTAGGTGTACCAAACAATCACTAAGCACAGAAGAATTAAATATCTAGTTCACAGCAGCGACAGAAATTAATATTTTCCAACAAGTTTAAAATTATTTTTACCCTTTATGGGCATTTTTACCTTTGTAAGGCCATTTTTTTTTCTAGAAGTGTGTCAAATTCTTACATTTAATCAATAAAGTCAATTACAAAAATAAGACATTTGGGGCTGTTACCAAACAAATAAAATCATTCTCAAAAACATTCATGCAATACAGAGGAAACACAGAAGCTGCATCTGAAGTGGCATTTAGATGCATATACACACTGTTTAATGCAAGGCATAAATGCATTTAAAGTGAGTCATTGCGATTGAACCGAATCATTCAAACGGTTGATTCGTTCAGTAACGAAACACTGTCATGTTTTTCAGAGACGCAAAACAGTGCTGTGGCTTTGTTTGGAACCATTTTTGTTGGCGAAATAGAGCAAAAAATAGGCAATATGGTGTCTAAAACGTAAGTCTCTTAATATGAACTTATTGTTTATAGAACTGTTGTATAAAATCAATCTCAATCACATTTGTGATTTTTGATCAACTATATGAAATTATATAAATATATACATTTTCTGCCCCCATATCTTGAATTTTGGGAGCATTCTAAATGCATTTTATGATACTGAATCATGCAGTGAAAGAACACACTCTAAATGAGCATTCAGTCTAGCTAGTGTTTAAGCACTCATAACTCCTCTTAATCAATGAAGCTGTCCATGCACGGTATGATAAATGAATCTCTAACTTACATCGTACGTACATCTGCACTTTGTTGCTTATGATGAGGGAATTCACGAGTTTCAGTCTGAACAAAAGTCTGGAGTTTCAGCGATGACTAATCTGAAACGCCTCTGATTGGCTACCGCATTCCTAAGCTCAACAGAATCGTGTGTGATTGGGTATAATGAGCAACGCTTTAAAAATGCGGAAAAATAAAATATGATGTATCATAAGCAGGTCTAACTTTAATACAGCAATCGAAACTTAATTTTAAGTATTAAAGTTTTATTGAAAAACCAGGGAACCCCCCCCAAGTATATTTTTTTGTGTGTTATGGGGGGTCCCTTAATGCTAATGGGAGGTCCGGGACACCCCCAGCCCCCCCTCAATTCGAACACTGGCCATAATGCTGACTTGATCTAATCGTGATCTAATCGCACTGTTGACGTGATCTAATCGCTAGCACACCCTGAGCACATGTGAGGTAATATATTCCTCATATCAGCATCATTTTTCATATCGGCTGATGCCGATATTTACATTTAAAGCCATTATCGGCCGATTCCGATATTGGTCCGATGATATCGTGCATCCCTACATAATACAATGATTTAAATCTTTATGACACAGATATTATAAGACTGGATAATTGACTATACATTATACTTATTCTATACTAGAAGGTCTTCTGAAGCCATATGATAGCTTTTTGGGACCAAATGTCTGAAACCTAAATTATTCACAGAAAATCTTGTTTAACAGCTGTGGTCACCATTCATTTTCATCGCACAAGGAAAGAGCTGCATTTCTTATGTGTTAACGGAATAAGTAAGTCATATGAGTATAAAAAAAACATAAAATGGTGAGTAAAAAATGACAGAATATTCATGCTTGGGTGAACGGTGAAATATTTCTTTAAGCCGTATATGAGAATAATAGATGGATGTAAACTTACTCAGTTCCGTCAGTGATGCTGCTGAGAGCACAGTCCAAAACAGCCACTCGACTCCGGACACGAGGGTCCCAGCAGTCCACTCTGCCCTTCACACACACACACACACACACACACACACATTAACACACAGCACAATAACTCTAACACAAACACCAGTCCTGAGATAAACTCCTACCTCTAAAGTTCCCGCAGCAAATAACTGATGAACAGGATTGATGTCACACACGTTGATTTCTCTGTGAAGACATGAGATCTTTACAATTCATACACAACTAATCTACTGTGATTAGGGTTGCAAAGGGGTGGAAAATTTCCAGAAAATTTCCGGCAACTTTCCAAATATCCCTGGAAGATTCCAAAAAAATCCTGGAAAGTTTCCAAAATTTCTGGAATGTTTCCCAAATTTACTGGAAATTTTCCACCTTTTTGCAACCCTAACTGTGATCAATGTTTGGGTGTTTATTATGACGCGTCCAACAGTATCATGTAATGAAACATGCTATTTTGAATCTCAAACTTTTATATAAATATATACTATTATAACAGCATTTTATATTCCTTTCTTATGTATCTTGTTATATAATTGTGTTAATACGCACAAAATTGAGACTACATCGGCATTTTATTAAAATTTGTACACTATTATAGTTTGTTAATTTTGATTTTATATTTTCTGTTTTCACTTTGATTTTAGTTGATGTTTTAGTAATTTTGCTGTATGGCATTTTTATTAGCTTTTAAAAAAAGATGTTTTATCTATTAATCTTAGTTTAAGTTTCAGTTGTTTTAATAGTTAAACTAAACGAAAATAAGAAATGTTCCCTTGACATGTAGCTGAAATAAAATAAATGTTATTTCAGTTAAGATAAATTGTATTTTTAACAACAAAACGTTTTCATGATTTCAGTTTCAGTGAACTATTAGAACCCTGAACTACATGCATTATTTTTCATTTTAAAAATGTATGCTCCACACAGCTACATTATGCTAAAAAAAAATATATACAATTTTGATGTTTCTATTTGATACACTAGAAATGTGTCTTTTTCATTGCAAGCTATCTAAAGGAAAATCAACAATAATGTGCTTTAACTGCATCACTGTATACACAAACCACGTCAACCAGCAGGTATATAGCCACCATAGATGTGAGAAAGAATACTTTCTATGGCACAAGCACAGCCACAACGGTGAAACAGCGCCCTGTGCTGGTGAGATACTTACGCTGCATCTGTCTGTAAGGAGTTGAGGAATCTGCCTTGTTCAAGATTCAGTCTGAAGACCTCTGAGCTACAGCGGAAACAACACATGCACTTCATTGAGAAAACAGAACAGCTCACACAAAGTTAGCAGTTAACAGGGTTTGCACAGCGTCCCGTGTTTGTATGTAATTAGGACCAACTGTGATGGTTCTAAAGACCTATTGATACCAAAAAGAGCAATGAAAAATCAAAAAGAATCACAGATGAAAGGTCTATTCACGAAAAAGCACTCTGGGCATTCACTTGCATTGATGTCAGTTGGACAGAAAAACAGACGTCACTGTCCAGAACAAATCAGCCTAACTCGCCATGCAACAAAAATTCCAGTCATCTGATAATAAATATTTCACTCGCTTCAATGCATTAATTTACCAATAGCATCATAAGCTTATTACACTACGCTACGTAAATAAATGGATATAAAATATTAGACAACTGTTCAAATGTTCTCTTTTGCTCACCAAGGGTGCATTTATTTGACTAAAAATACAGTAAAAACAGTAATATTGTGAAATATTATTACGATTTAAAATAACTGTTTTCTATGTGAATATATATTTTAAAATGCAATTTATTTCTGGGATCAAAGCTGAATTTTCAGCATCATTACTCAAGTCTCACATGATCCTTCAGAAATCATTCAAATATGCTGATTTGCTGCTTAATTAAAAATGTCTGATTATTATCAATATTGAAAAACATTAAGCATTCTGTGATGAACTGAAAGATCAAAAGAACAGCATTTCTTTGAAATGACAAAAGTAGATGAAATGATAAAAGTAGGCAGTAAATATTTGCTCTTGGTGTGAATAGACTTGGATAACACGTGATTTTCAGCGTGGCGTCGTACCTGGCTCCCACAAAGTAGAGATCACAGGAAGGGTAGTGGTAGGAAAAATCTCGGCCAAACTTCGGGATGCGGGTCTTGTAGTAATGGCCGTGCTGAGAGTGGAATTCCACATAGCGGTCTATATGCAGAAATACTAGCTAGAAGAAACAAAGACAAAGTCCTACAAATCACATTTGATTTGCTTTTCTAGTCGCATCACAACACAACTCTCAAACCTCATATTGACAGCGTCTCTGCTGACTGCAGACCTGCACAAATAAAATAAATACCACCTTTATCCAAATAAGCCTACTGCGTTTTAAATTATGGGAGGCACTTCTGGTTTGGGGAAGTTCCATTCAAAAAGACTGCAATAAATCATTTCAAATCAGAAGATTGCGCTACAAATAATCCTCATTCAGTCATTGTGACTGAATGGGCTGTACAATTTCATTCATTTTCATTTTCAGACGTCAGGAGAATAACGTTAAAGGGATAGTTCACCCAAAAATTTCATTTTGGCCACCAATCAAACAGTTGGTGGTTGCCATTGACTTCCATAGTATTTTTTTTTCCTACTATGGAAGTCAATGGCAACCACCAACTGTTCGATTACCAGCAATCTTCAAAATATCTTCTTTTGTGTTCAACATAAGAAAGCAACTCATACAGGTTTGGAACGACATGAGGGTGAGTAAATGATGACAGAATTTTCATTTTTGGGTGAACTATCCCTTTAAGTTTGGTATATTAATGTGACGTGATATAACGATATATATATAGAATAGCTCTTTTCGGCCCGCTGCATTATTTTCCGTATTATATTTCGTATTCCCCTGTGAGTAAACGAAAAAAGACCACATATACTGTGCATTTGTGGTCTGTTCTCCCAATTTAATTTACGATATAAACCAAGAATAATTCCCTGGAATGCACTAAGAATCTTTCATTTTTCTCCCGAAATCCTCACGTCTCTTTTCAGGTTTGTTTCCACACGGACGCTGAAAAATGTAATTGTTACGAAATATAGACATACGCTACCGGTCAAAAGTGTGGGATCAGTAAGACTTGTAATGTTTTTTTTTAAAGAAGTCTCTTCTGCTCATCTAGGCTGCATTTATTTGATAAATACAGAAAAAACTGTAATCTTGCAAAATGTTATTACAATATAAAATAATGGTTTCTATTTTAATATCCTTTAAAATATAATTTATTTCTGTGTTGCAAAGCTGAATTTCCATCAGCATCATTACTCCAGTCTAAAGTGTCACACGATCCTTCAGAAATCATTCTAATATGCTGATTTATTATTAGAATTATCAATGTTGGCAACAGTTGTGCTGCCAAATATTTTTTTGGAAACTGTGATACTTTTTTTAAGATTCTTTGATTAATAAAAAGTAAAAAAAAACAGCATTTATTCAAAATAACTATTTTCTAACAATACAAATCTTTGCTATCACTTCTTAACAATTTAACACATCCTTGCTGGATAAAAGTTTGAATTTCTTTCAAAAAAAGAAAGAATACAAATTTACTGACCCCAAACTTTTGAACGGTAGTGTATATTGTTAGAAAAGATTTATATTTTAAAATAAATGCTCTTCTTTTTAACTTTTTATTCACAGGGATTAAAGTTCCATCGCTATGCCGGATTTCCGTCAGTTCATAAAGAGAGTCACTTGCTTCATTCCTGAATGATTCAGCCGTTCGAACAAATCAACTGAATGAATGATTCAATGATAAAATCAGTGACTTGCCGCCACCTGCTGGCGGATTTAGTTTCATTTTTAGCATATAATTTCAGTTATTTAAATCATATTTCTGTATTCAAAATTTGATATTTAAAATCTCCACATGAATTTAATTGCACTCATGCCACCTCTGAGCCTCATTAAACGTCTGGAAATGCAAGCCACTTTTGTGTTCTTCTGTGCCACCTCTGTAGTACAAATTAATTTATTAATACTAATTTCATATAATTGGTAACTTATTTTTCTTATTCTACTTCTTATTATATTGGTAACTTATTTGTATTATTCTACATATTGTTTTAAATAGACATTTTTAAAAGATTATAAACATAATTTTTTGAATTTGACAGATGAAAATGATGCCATTGCAAAGGTATAAAGAAAATACTCCTGTAAGTCACTTTAAGGAGTCAAATGTCACCTCGTATTAGAAAGGCTAATTTTTGATCAGAATTTTTGAATATTGATCAGAAGGTGCTCCTAAATTTTTTTAATTAAAATAGTTTAAATTAAAACTGCTCTTAAACTGGGTGTGTGACAGGTATGGCTGAGGAATGGGGTTCGGTCGAAGAAAAAGTTTCAGTCAAAAGATTTTTTTGCTTTAACCCCTGCAATATAATAAGCCGTAGAATAAGACAAATAAGTTACCAATCATATGAAATTAGTATTAATAAATTAATTTGTACTACAGAGGTGGCACAGAAGAACACAAAAGTGGCTTGTTGGTACATTTTCAGACAGGTAGCATGAGTGCAATTAAATTCATACATTCATGTAGAGATTAATGTTTTAAATATACAATTTTGAATACAGAAATATGATTTAAATAACTGAAATTATATGCTAACGGAAATCCGTCGTAGCGAAGGAACACTTTAATCCCTGTATTCATCAAAGAATCCTGAAAAAATGTATCACAGGTTCCAAAAAAATATTAAGCAACACAACAGTTTCCAACATTGATAATAAATCAGCATTTTAGAATGATTTCTGAAGATCATGTGACACTGAAGATACTATAATGATATTTAACACGTCCGTAATATTGCTGCGGATAGGAGGAGGATCTTTAGGAGTTCTAGGTTTGGCACAAATGCACAGTATTCAGTATTTCCCCTGCCATTATATTAGGGGGTGCCCCACCCCCCTTGAAGGTCAAGTTAATTTTCTTTTCTTTTCTCTATAGCACAAGATCACAACAGAAGTCATTTAAAGTTACCTTTCCTAAAGAACAGGTCTATACCTTGTTCTTTTATTAAACAAACTAAATGGCCTTATGTTATTTATCTTATTTACACGACGGCATGTCATTTCTGTTTAAATGAAACATTTAAATGCCAGTTTTCCTAAATGCATTTAGACTTACAATTAGGACACTTGAGATTGCATTTTCATCGTGATACCGCGTGATAATTGTAGCAAAATGCAGTGTGAATTTCAAAATTAATTCTGAGCCAAATGTGCAACAAAATGGTTACAAAAATGGTGATTTAAATGTCTTTTATTTTTCTTAAATGCATTGACACTTACACTTAAGACGTTTCAATTGCATTTTCATGAAATACCCCGCGATAACGTAGTTTTAAGTCAATGTGGATTTGAAAATGCATTCCGAGGCGATCACGCCCCCAACCTGTCAATCATTATATCAAGGCGGGGCTCGGCAACAAGACGCACAATAGGTCAATATTCCCCATTAACCAAACGCTTTTCACCTGCCTCAACATCTCAACTGTCCTACCCGTAAGACTAAATGCATTTAGGAAAAATGGCATTTTAAATGATAATTTTGCTACAGTCTTTGCTTGGACATGTTAAACATATCTAATCAATTTGGGTAATACAATTTCATTTTAATTTTGCAACTTATAAAATATTTAAATGTTTTTAATTTACATATTAAAACTAGTGTAGAAAATGGCAAATGTAAATTATATAATTGAATTTTCATTTTGCACTAAATGTTGCACATATGGTATGGGATAATGTAAATTTAAATACAGAAATACATTGCCATTTTACATATTGCATCGTCATTTTGCATATTACATTTCAAAATTAATTTTGCTACCCATATGCTTCCACACACACACACACACACACACACACACACACACACACACACAGGCAGGGAGAACAGATGGCCCAGGTTGTTATGTAGGCATAGAAAATATCCTACATTCCCACTAGTATTTGTAAATATTAAGCCGCAAAACGACTATTTCAATATGAATTCTGCGTGTCTCTGTGTTAAAGAATGGCGCAGACACGCGGTTTTGTTTAATACTCGTACTGAAGCGCTCGTGACGCTTGCTGTGATATTAACCTCTGCCGTCTCACTAATGAGGACATAATACATGAACAGCATCTCCAGAACTGCTCTGAGAGTCACTTCATGAGCATTTGACCGTTTCATCTGAGCAAAACTATCATCATATCATATACACACAGAAATGTAAAGGTGTTAAAGGTTTAACTTGAAGACACTGCGGCAGAATTATATTACTGTTGTTCAGTAGAATGCACGTAATAGGCTACTACTACTACTAAAATGATTAAAACCTCATTTTTAAGGAATAATCATACAATATTTCTTTAATGTTTTAATTGTAATATTAAATCAATTAATTTTCATTAATTAAAAGACAAATTAAATAACTGTTTTGTGCCTTAAAAAAATGTAAATACACAACACAGAATTTCTGAGGAAAAAAATCAAAGGCTATTGTAAGAATAAATGAAACTTGTTTTATGCTTTCCATGCTAAAACACAGAATTTGGTTACAATAAAACATAAGGTTGGAAAAAACAAAACATTTCATAGGGCCCTAAACGTAATTTTTGTTATAGTTTTAATAAATTGATGTTATCTTGCCTAAGTTTCATGATTTAAATAAGTAAATGGTTTAAATCATGAACCACTGGTATTATTGCTCCAAAAATGCAGGCCTGTAGAAAGAGCAACAGTGCAGTGTTTGGACTAGTGTTACATTAGGATGTACCACTGCATTCAGTCCCCAAAAATCCTCTTAAATCTTACTTTCGTTAAAATAACAAGCGTACAACAAAAACAAGCAGACAAACAGAAAAAGACACAAAGCAGCATGTAAAGGCCTTACCTTAGAGTAGTCCTCAGATAGGATGTCAAACGTCACCACTGTGAGAGGAATAAAACCAATGTGGTGAGTGACAAAGCGTCCTTAATTACAACATCAAGCTGCCGCTTTACCCATCATCTGATGTGTTATTTGCAATCAACAGCACATTAATGAGAGCTCAGGTTGTTTGTGTGTGGACACTCTGATTAAATATTAAGCAGCGCACTGGGCTTTTATTACAGCACCCAAACCAAACCCTAGACTTCATACCACAAGAACTAGCATTTATAAAATAGATGGTATGCTGATGCTGATATCATATTTGCATGCATTATACAGTAATTATAACACTCACCATCAGACTCCAGGCACCTCTCAAATTTCAGAGACAGCTGGTAAGTGTCATAGCATCGGACTCTAGGTTTGTATGTGCCTGAAAGCATTCAAAAACATTTTCAGATGATTTCAAATGAATGTTCAGCATCATTGATCTGTTCCCAAAGTCTAAAACTGTACATTCAGCATATGTATCCGGTAAAGATACAGACCCGCGGCTAAAATGAACTGGCCATCGCGTGACACTCGGATGGAGGTGCAGACTGTGGGCATCTCAAAATCCTGAATCAGCTCAATCCTCTTCTGGATATCTATTAAAGATATGATTGAAGAAATAACCAGATGTCTTTTTTAAGAGAGAGTGTGGAAAGCTGTGCCAACGTTTACCATGAAAAAACAGACAGAGGTATAACGAACACATATATCAAAATATAATTCAGTATAATTTGACGTAACTCTAGTAAGAAAATAAAATAAAATGTCTACGATACAAGGCCATAGAAAGAAATATGACTTGTAATAAAAAAAGGTTGTACTGTCACAGGTTAAACTGATTCACTGGAGAACACAAAAGTTTCACATTACAAATAATATTCATATTACATTTAATATTACAAGAACCAAAAAGGTAAAATTTCGCTAAATTAAAGGGTGTTACAAATGTTAATAACACTCGACCCTGTTTTTATATTAAAAAAAAGTTGAGTGCTCACCAACATCATTGTTCTGCAAGACTCTCTTCTTTCGATCTGACAGCCACTGAAATAAACATATGTAGCGTCAGATAAAAGCACAGTAATGTCATAATTAGGACTACAACTAATAATTATAGTGATATAATAAAAAAAACATATTATACATAAAATAGTTGTTGTATCATCATCTTAGCAGGAGTCATAAAACTAGCTGAAAATAACAGGTAAAGTGTTTTTGTTTCTGAATCATGGGTGAAGGCTAAACGTTTACATCACAAGCTTTACTGTCATTCACTGTATTTAAGTTACCTTGCTAACTAACGTTACCCAAACAAGAAGAGTTTTACCTCCGGAAGAGATTTCCCGTGACTCAGATTATAGATCTTCACGTTATTCACACTGGACACCTGCATCTCTAAAGCGCTCAGACAGAGTTTTCAATCATAACACACAAAATCATGTAAAAGGTGAAGTAGAAATAGCAGCCGGCCTGAACATCAGCACAGTACTCCACGTGGATACACAACAGGAAGTGAGGAGGAGGCGATGGAGGAAGTCCGTGTGGAAACACATTCCGCGACGATAGTTCCAAAAACTAGATCATTATTTTACATTTTATTTATTTTTTCTAACATTTTATTGTTAACATTAACATTTATTAACATCAAAAATCAAGTCGCGTCTAATTATTAGGTATTATACTTTAAATACAAGTATTCTACTTATAAATTCACCTGTGATAGTAAAGCTCCATTTTAGTGCAAAGGAATCCAGCAGCGCTAAAAAGACGATTCTCTAATATTGATGAGCAGCATTGTTCTCCCATATGTATTGTTTTAGGATATATATATATATATATTCTTAATTTCAAGATCAATTTAACAAAGTTTATTTTTCTGAAGTATTTAGATTTTAGAAATAAATTTATACAGATTACGTTTACATTACATTTTTTATTTATTATTTTAATTCGAGACCCATCACCTCAAAAACGGACACAGCAAAAAAAAAAAAAAAAAAAAAAAAAAAAAAGCAATGCAAAAAACACAAAATGCAAAACAAAACATTAAAAA